CATCCTTGATCGTAATCGCTCACACCCAACAGGGGCGTCGCTTGCTGGAGGACTGCGGCCGCGCCGTGGCGCTAATGTGGGTTACGGTATACGTGCTATGTCCTAAACTTATAATCTTGTGCTCCCCTCCTACCTCAGCTGCCACTGCAGCATCCATGTGGAATGAACGGAAGTGTGCTAAGCAGGTGTTTATATAGCCCTAAGAGTGTTATCACAACTATCCTGCTACAAAACATTGATATCTCAAATCCTGTAAGCTACCCGATTTGTTAGCGGTTTGTTTATCCCATGAGCTTCCTTCTCACTCACTTCATTTTGCGGACGGACACACAGACATACATACACTACATACAAACCGACACACCAAGTTAGCGGTTTATAAAATAGAAGGATCACCCTTCAGTGAACATGTTTTTGCTTTGCACTTGCCTTTTACTAGTCGTACAGATTTTCCATGACTGCTTCATCTTGTTACCGCAATTTCTGGCCACCCTGTATCTCCTAGCCATTGCACTCACTGTCCCCATGTGAAATAGGAGAAGTAATGGCTAGAGGTGCCGCATCACACATGCACAGTCTACTTCAATAAAATACCATAATGTTGGCATTCGCTCACCTCTTCATCTTCAGTGGCCCAGAAACATCGTGCTATCTTCTTCAGATTTAGTCTACTCCTACTGCCTCCATCATCTTCAGTTGTGTCGATTGTCTTTGTTTTCTTGTTCTTCCTATGCTTCATTCTGCTCTCTCCTTCATCTTCAGTTGTGACGGTTGTCTTTGACTTCTTGAGCTTAAAATGAAGAATTCGTTCTTGCTCAGAACTCCGTCAGAAATCTCATCTCATGAACTCCACCGAGCACTGTTGTGCGTGCTAATGGCAAGAAGTAGCAATCGATTTTACGCGCGCATCAAATCGATACCTATGTTTTCCAGGAATGTTAAGAGGGAGTAACTTGAGAACTTACCCATTTCCTTGCCTTGTCCTTGCTACCCTCACGTTCTTCCGTGATTTCTCTCGATTTTCTTTTCCGCGTCTTTTTATCGTCCTTTTCTTCGTCACAGGTACGCTCTTTAGGCATCTTTCCAGCTTCTTTGTCTTTGTTACCTTTTTCTTCGCTTGAGCTTTTCTTCAGATTCCGTTTTTCTTTACTGTTCTTCACATTCTCAATGGTGCGTTCTCTCTGCTGCTTCTTCGGCTGATCCTTACTGTTTCCATCTCCACCGACAGCAGCTCCTTCTTTTGACACTTTCTTGGGTTTGACTTTTCCATTCTCCGCTGAACCTTCCTTGGATCGCTTTTTCACCTGATCTTTCTCGTTTTTACCTTCACCGATAGTCGCTCCTTCTGTCGAAGGCTTCTTTGGTTTGATTTTACCCTGTTCAGCGGAGCCTTCCTTAGATCGCCTTTTCGGCTTGTCTTTGTTGTTTTTACCCTCATCAACAGCCGCTCCTTCTTTCATCGCTTTGATCGGTTTGGCTTTACCACCTTCCACCGAGCCTTCTTTTGATCGCTTTTTCTGTTTATCAATGCTATTTTTAGCTTCACCAAGTTTTGCCCCTTCTTTCGATGTTTTCTTCAATTTATTTTTACTATCCTTCCCTTCAACGACGGCTTCACTGGACTTCCTTTCCAACTTGTTGTTTTTTGGACCCGCTTTTCCTGCCTTCAAATCTTCTTTTAACCTTGTTGGCCGAGCTGCATTCCTTTTCAATATGTTAGTAGCGTTGCATGCATCGTGAGCTTCTTCAGTTGTTTTTGTGTATGGATTCCCAGCCGCCACCGCCGAGACATTCATGAAGATGGTAAAATGAGAGGCACTTCACTGATTTGATCTTTTATAGGGTTTCCACGTGCCGTTGGCAGCAATGATCTCGCTATCCGCTGACCTATCATAGCTTTAAAACAATCATTCTTCTTCCCATTACCGATTCCTTCAACTTCAGTGCTGTTCTCAGCCGTTGCGCTTGGTCTCTCTACGCACTAACAAGGGAGGTCTTTCAGGACATGGAGCGCTTTTTCGAAATGGTTTTCTGCATGTTGTAGGGGCTCATGCGAGGAACACAGAACCATGATCCATTTTTCCTGAACGCCCCCAGAAATGTCAAAACATTGGTCTTCACTGGAACACAGAACCATGATCCATTTTTCCTGAACGCCTCCAGGAATGTCAAAACAGTGGTGAAGAAATGGTCCAGAGTTCGATCCCCGGTGATGACTAATTTTTGCAATATAGTTTGGCGCCCCAGATTGCCGCCAAATGGCGCCATCGTCGAGAATAGATGTCATTGTCGTGTTTTGCGGCAATTTGGAGGCGCCAACATAAATTGCAAAAATTTGTCATCACGGAGGATCGAACTTTGGACCATTTCTTCTCCCCTGTTTTGACATTCCTAGGGGCGTTCAGGAAAAATGGACCATGGTTCTGTGTTCCTCACATGAGAATCTACAAAAACTAGGGAACCATTTTGAAAAAACGCTCCATGTCCTGAAAGACCCTCCTTGTAAGATGTGAGCGCGCGCAGCTGTGGCGTTATGGTTAAGTCCTGCAAGAATCGGCGGAGCATAATCGTCGACCGGCATCGAGTCCCAAGAAGCCCCAGATATTGAGTTTTGGGTTTAAACGTTAGGCTGAAGGGCGAGAATGATCAAAAAAGCTATTGAAGCGTTCATGGCCTTCTTGTGGGAGGGGGATCCACCCAAAATAGGGCGGCGCTGATGTGGTGGCATCGTTGTGCGTCTGAACATATGAGGAGGGAGACTTTGGTGAAGATGGAATTGCTTAGAAACCTTCCTAGTCTCCTAAACTCTCCTAGTCCCCCAGGACTCGGCTTCAGGGGGAACTAGGAAAGGTGAGTGCGCTGAAATGGGCTGGTGAGCTTTCTGCATAATGCCTATGCCCCACCCAACGATACCAGTGCCATCATAGCATTTCAAAACCGCTGGTAGGTGACACTAGGATTACGATGCGAGCAAACTGTTCTCCCTGGAGTTTCTCGTCCCCTCCTGCGCGGCAGGGAACAATTTGCTCGCATCTTCCTCAGAAACCCTCCCCTCCTTCGGCTTCCAAAGCATTGTAAGTGGCTCACTACTCCCCTCCCCCTTGTCCCAAACATGTTCGCCGCAGGAGGTGGAGATTAGACGTCGCGAGGGTGACGTTGTTTGCAAGTTACCGTATCAGGTCATCAAAATCCACCGATGGGTTTGAGAGGTTCTTTACCTTTTTATTCCGTTCACATAAAATCATTAATTGTTGCCAATATTTTTGGAATCCTCGACGAAACAAGACTCTAAGCAATCATGGATTTTTGAATTGCGCTGTAAAATTACTAGGAGTACCGGCCTGAGCTAATGGTAAGAAATAGTTGATAAATCCGATTGATGGTGATCAAAACTGATCGACATCCGGCTCGCTTCGCTCGCTGGCGAATACGCCAATTATTTGAGAACCGTTGAAATTTTGAATGGAGCCAGACTGTGAGGTGGCACCCACCGCTGTTGGAACACCACGGCACTCATTTCCTTGGGGGGAGGGGGCATTCAAAATAGGACCGTGGGGCGCTCTTGTTCTTGGGAACGGGGAGGGGGGACATCACAACAGAGCTGATGGTAGGTGACACTAGAACTAGGCCCATGAGAGGGAAGAGCGTCAGGAAAAGCACTAATTACTATTTCGATGCGATAGAATCCCCTTCCCTTCTGACGCTTAGTCACAAGTTTTAAGTGACTCACCTAGGTGAATGCCCCCTCGATGGCATGAGCGCCAGTACCAGTGAACGATGAATTTAAGCTAGCTATCAACTCCACTCTCTGCCACAACGGGGTCCGTGTTGTGAACGTTGAGAACGCGCATCAGTACCGGTTTCCGGCAGCACAAGTTGTCGGTTCACCGTAGAATACATGTATTCCAGGAAAAATAATCCGAGTAATTATCATGCGAATATCACTTGTTAGCAAAATTTTGCATAATATTGTACAAACATCGCCAAGACTTTTGAAAAGACCGCTACATTC